TTTAGCCACCCTGGCCAACAACTCAAAGGAAGGTATCTCCTATCTGGCATTGTTGCTTGTTATGTAGCCTTTAGCTATATATATGGACTGTTAGAAAATTATATTGGCCCCTTTTATCTTTTGTTGTACTTTCCTTTTCGGTGTTTAAGGCCACACAGTTGGCCCAGATAAACCAATTTATTTTTACTCTTAAGGTCTGAGGATCTGTTCCTCAGGGGTCACATGGGCTTGGGAGGAGCCAGTCCATGGCTCCTTCGTTTACCAGTTCTGCGTATGTGAAGATAAGTCAGGTCCTGCTCGACCATGGTTGGCTTCGCTTGAAGGCATGGAGGAAATGATTCCTCTGTGTTGATCCCCCTCTTTTTAGACTGGACACTGGTTCAGGTCCATCTGGTGGGGTCTCGTCAGCCTCCTTGATCAAGAGGACAAGTGACCCACCACCACTGTAGGACATTTTGAGAGACACTCATAGTCCCCAGGAACTAGTCGACCTAGGAGGGCAAGGAGCAAAAACTGTCCTTTATGTCCCTCTGACCAAATTATTATAGGAGAGGCCAACTTTTAAGAGTCAGTTCTCTCCTTCCAGCATGTGAGTTTCAGGGATCAAACTCAGGTTGTCAGGCTTGGGGTCAAGTGCATTTACCTAGCTATGCCACAAAATTGGCCTTTGACCTTCACACACATTAGCACAGGCATGCATGTGCACATATGTGTGCACAACACACACAATAATAGTAAAATTTTTAATGTATACTAGATTTCAATGTCATAGTACAAAAATCTACAATAATTTTATAATTGATTATATATTAAAATGTTATATTAATGTATCGGATTAATTGTTTTTTTACCTGCTTGTTTTATTTTTTTGTTTCACTATTTTAATAGTTCTACACCATTCAAAAGCTATTGCATAATTAGACACATTGTAGTATTCTTTGCAGTAATATAAAGTACATCTCATAGAAATTGGTAAATTATATCAGTATATTAATTCTCTAATTTATTTATATTCTGGCAACTGACAACAAGAATAGTCAGTTTGTTTCTTTGGTTTGTTTTGTGTTTTTGTCTTTATTTTTATTTTTTATGCATATGACTATATTGCCTGCATGTATGTAAGTATACCATGTGTGTGCAATGCCCATGGAGGCTAGAAGAGGGTGTCAGATTCCCTGAAACTGGAGTTAAGGACAGTTGTTAGCTACCATACGGGTGCTGGGAACCAGTCCCAAGTCCTCTGCAAGATCAGCCAGAGCTCTTAACTCCTGAACCATCTCTCCATCCCGATTTGTTTTTTGAGCAAGGTCTCATGTAGCTCACTTTGAATTCTTAGTCCTCCTTCCTCTATGTCCCAAGTACTGGAATTATAGATGTGTACCACCAGGCATGGTGACACAATTTGAAATTTAATTAATTGGAGACACATTCCTACACTTAGTATTAGCTGATATTTGGTGTGAATGACTCATATGAATGAAACATCAGAGCAATAAATTAAAATCCTTAATTATTGCTGTTAATACACTTTTTGTCCTTAGGAGCTATTGTTTGTATTTTTGTACTTCTGGGTACTGTTTATATTAGAATTCCTTAGCTGGACTTGATGGCACACGCCTTTAATCCCAGCACTCAGAGGCAGAGGCAGGCCAATCTCTGAGCGCAAGGCCAGCTTGGTTTTCATAGCAAGTTCCAGGCCAGATGGAGTTACAGGGAGATCCTAGCTCATCAAATCAAAACAAAACAAAAAAAGAAGTCCTAGTTGAAGTTTTTTTATATTTGTAGGAACCCTAAATTTGAACTGTTTGAATGTTATCCATTTGGAAATATCATACACAGAGAATATCCTTTTTACTAGCAAAATATATTCCATCTTGGATTCCTTTGTTCCCCCTTAGGGTTCTGTAGCTATAGCTGGTGCTGTAATCCGCTGGCTACGAGACAACTTGGGAATTATTAAGTCCTCAGAGGAAATTGGTATGTTCTAATAAAGAGTTTAAAAATCTAAAGAATGAAAAATGTTAATATTTTGTCCCTTTAATCTGTAAATACTTAGGCTTTTTCACTAACTTGCTCTATAAATTATGTGAACCCTTCTTATAAGTTTGATTTATTCAAAAAAGACTATTTAATGAAGATTACTCAACAAGTTTACATAATTAGTGGTGGTTATTAATTAATAAACTGGTAAGCTAGGGCATAAAAATTCCCGAAGTGTAAAATTGAACACCAGAGATTGCCTGAATCCACAGGTAATAGGTGTAACTACATTTGTCTGATGATGAGAAAGAGCTTAACTCGTAGATTAGAGTAAGCATTAAAACCCTGGTACCTATAACTTAAATATTAATATAATTGTATTCAGTGTATGGGTAATTGGCTTAAACTCACCTATTCACACTTTCATTTATCTGTTTAACTTTGCCTGAAGGTAAGACAATCAAAGATACATGTCTGATTAGACACAGAGAGGAGGCCATTTCATTTCCTAGTCAGAAAACTTAAAAATAATGCAAATGGAGCTAGGGAGATGACTCAGTATGGAATTTGTTAAGTTTGGTTCCCAATAAAAATGCCAAGCATGGTGGCTGGCGCTTATAATCCCGGGGCTAGGGGGTTTTAAAGAAGTGAATCCCTGGGGTTGGCTGGCTAACTAGCCTAGCCTACCTGAAAAACTCTAGGCCATTGAGAGACCCTGTCTTAACAAACAAGATGGGCAGTTCCCAGAGAATAACACCCAAGGTTGATCTCTGGCCTCCACATACATGAACACCCTCACATATGGGGGTGCATGCCACATAATTTTTGGGGTGGTGTTCAGTGTATGGGAAATGTTTTTGTCACCTTAGCAGTCTTATTAATTACAGTAGAATGCTACCAATGAACTGGATATCAAAAGTCCATACTTAATTTTGAAAGTATATATTTATATGACAAAGTAAGATAATTGGCTTGATATTTTTCTTTTCGTTTTTAATACTAGAAAAACTTGCTAAAGAAGTGGGTACTTCTTATGGCTGCTACTTTGTTCCAGCGTTTTCAGGGTTATATGCACCTTATTGGGAACCCAGTGCAAGAGGGTAAGTATTTCCATAGTTACCAGTGATTTACTGTATATTTCAAAACAGCTAGAAGAGGCAATATTGAATGTCACCAGTACAAATAAATTAGTGTATTAAGTGATAGATGTGCTAAAAACCCTGATTTTATCATCATGCATGGTATACATGTATACTTCAGTCCATACTCATTAATATATAAAACTATTATATCCCAATTAGAAATGAATAATGCAAGAAGATAACAAAGTAGAAGAGGGGCTAGTTGGGAATAGGAAAGGAAGTTCGGGGAGGAGAGACATACATCATATATAGATGTATGAAAATGGCATAATGAAGCCCATTATGTATAATCATGCTAATAAAATATTAAAAACTGAAAAATGAAGGAGGCTAAGTGTTGACAACATTATGTGATGGCTTGATTTTTTTTACTAGACTAGTTAATAAGTAATTAATAATTCCCTATATTTTCACATGCAAGTCATAGACCAAAGTAGTGTCATTTAAATAAATCTGATTTGATTTTTTTGTGAATATCATCTATTTTGATAGATCATAAACACTTCCATTTGTAGATGTAGGGTTGTGGACTATACAGACATTCTGAATTAATTATCATGTCCGATTTTCTTTCCTGTCTACATTTCTATCTATCTATCAAATTTGCTCTTCATATTTGGGACATTTCAGATCAATGGGTTGTTTATAGCACTCTAGTCTGAAATCTTTGTGTGCATTTTTAGGATCATCTGTGGACTCACTCAGTTCACCAATAAATGTCATATCGCTTTTGCTGCATTAGAAGCTGTTTGTTTCCAAACTCGAGAGGTAATGAATAGGGGCTTCTTTCCTTGTATTTAATCCACTTTTATCACTCTTAAATTACACATTAACTATATACTTATGCCTGACATTTATTAAATACTGAAAATGTACCTGATAAGAAAATGAAGCCTGTGTAAACATTACTCTAAATAGAAGTATACCCTCCCCCAACTTTCCCAGTCATCATTATCTTGTACAGAGTTTTATTGCCAGCCACTGGGAATTGATGTTTGGGGGAAGACTGAGTGGCACACATCAGGCAAAGGAAACAGCACAAATGTAGGCATTGGGGCAGGGAACGAGGATGCACATTAGAATGGTTTGGCTTGCTGAATATCAGACCCACTGCAGAAGTATGAGGTCAAAAAAGGTTCGTTGCAGCCAGATCAAGGAGGGCTTGGAAGATCAGAATAAGATGTCTCTGTTTCATTCTTCAGGCTTTGAGAAACCTTGCAGGTTTTTGTGTGAAGAATTGCCATTTTCAGACATGTTACTGTGAAGTAGCTTCATAACTCTAATTGCATTGATTTATTTAAGATTTTGGATGCCATGAACCGCGACTGTGGAATTCCACTCAGTCATTTGCAGGTAGATGGAGGAATGACCAGCAATAAAATTCTTATGCAGCTACAAGCAGACATTCTGTATATTCCAGTAGGTTAGTAACCCTTCACTTTTTGAAACCCCAGGAGTTATGTGGGTTTGGGGAGAGCTAATTCTTCAGGCATATATAACTACAGAATTGTTGACTGTAGCTCTCTCCTTTCAGTGAAGCCCTCCATGCCAGAAACAACAGCTCTGGGAGCTGCCATGGCGGCTGGGGCAGCCGAGGGGGTCGGTGTATGGAGTCTCGAGCCCGAGGATTTGTCAGCTGTTACCATGGAGCGGTTTGAACCTCAGATCAATGCTGAGGGTATATTTAAAAAATGAAACTTTTAATGGAATATTGTGAAAGTGACCTTCACTTGGAACAGTTTGCTGCATTCAATATATTTACAAGTTAAGAAGCAAGATAATTTGGCTGCTAAGCATATTGGTTTATGCTGGGCAAGACTTAATCAGAGAAAAAGTTCATCTGTGTACTATTTAGGAGAATAACACTCCTGCATTGTCAACTATAGCTTGTCAGTCTAGAGGAATTTTTATGTGTATGAGTGTTTTGCCAGTGCACCATATGCATGCCTGTTGCACATGGAGTCTAGAAGAGGGCACCTGATCCCATGATGGGACTGGAGTTACAGACAGTTGTGAACCACCATGTAGGTGCTGGGAACTAAGCCTGGGTCCTCTGCAAGAACAGCAGGTGCTCTTAACTGCTGAACTATTTCTCCAGCTCCCAACCTAGGTTTTGTTTTATTTTACGTGTATGATAATTTTGCCTACATGGGTGCATACAGTGCCTGAGGAGACCAAAAGAAGGTGTGGGATCCCATGGAACTGGAGTTACAGAGTTATAGTTCCAGCAGCCATGTGGATGCTGGAACCTGAATCTGGTTCCTTGGGGCACCGGTCTTCTGCAAGAGCAGCTAGTGCTCTTAACCACTGAACCATCTCTTCAGCACCCCAAACCTAATTTTTGGGGGGTTTTGTTTTTTGTTTTGTCCTTGGTTTTTTTTGAGACTTGCTCTCCCTGTAGCCCCAGCTTGCCTGGAACTCGCTATGTAGACCAGGCTGGCCTTGAACTCACAGAGATCCACCTGCCTCTGCCTATCAAGTGGTGGGATTAAAGGCATGAACCACCATGCCCGGCTTCCCATATATATATGGTATCACTCTGTAGCCCAGACTTGTCTGGAACTGGCTATGTAGATCAGGCTAGTCTGCCTCTGGAGTACTGGGATTAAAGGCATGCACAACCACACCTAGCCCCAGCTTGGGTTTTTTAAAGTGAGAAAGGAGATCGACTCTGGCAACTAATCACTGTGTCTGGTTCTGTAGCTGTAGGAAGAGGACAATGTCACTGTTCATTTTTGTTTAATTCTTATATAACGAATTTTTACCTTAAAAATGCAATTTAAGATGTCAGAGGGTTTTTACTATTTGAATATTGTGAGAAATCAATATTTGCTAAATCTTTTATCTGGACCAAAATCAATTCTTCTAGTTTTTCCAATTTATTTCATATGTCTCCTTATGTCAAATCTTCCCCCATCCCCTCAAAAAAAAAAAAAAGAGAGAGAAATCAAATGAGATTCCCCTTTGGAATCATCATCACTTGGCTTGTGAATGGCACTGTCTTCAGAGCAGGTAGCCTGACTAGCAGTCCCCGCCAGCTGCATGCTAAATTTCCACTATAATTCTTCCTTCCAACTTCCGAGTATCTTGTCCTCTCACTGACAGTCGCCAGCAGGTGTTTGCTCTCAAATTCGTGTTCCAGTAAAGACTCACAACAAACTGCCTCTCCTGTGTTTTGTCCTACCTTCTAATTATAGAAAGTGAAATTCGTTACTCTACATGGAAGAAAGCAGTGATGAAGTCAGTTGGTTGGGTTACAACTCAGTCTCCGGAAAGTGGTAAAATGTTTTTCATTGGTTATTTGATATTTTTTTTCTTAGTATGCTACATAGTTTATCTAAGTGCCTGGCCGCTTATAGTTAACAAGATTGATCTGAAGAAAAGAATTATCAGATATCTAAAGTTTCTAATGTTTTGAAAACACTTTACAATTCTAAACATAATGGGAATTATGTTAACATGCATACTTTCTTCTATCCTATCATATCTTTCCTTGTTGATTTATTCCTGGTATTTCAATGGATAGCTGAATTTTCAAAAAGTAAAATTTTATTTCTGGTTTCTTCTTAATGAAAATAAATCAACTAGAGTCTTTTATTTTTTCTCTCTCCTTGCTTATGTCTATCTTTTTGGGAGGTTTTCTTTGTGACCAGAACCAATCAAAAGGAGTATTGATTTCAGAATATATTCTGCCAATTTCAAATCTGATTCCAGATACTTGGGGAATGCATGTAATATGAATTCCTATGGAATCAGAGAAGGGGGAGTGAATCAGGTATAATAAATTAGAGGTTTTGTAACAGTAAGAAATGCTACTAGCAGAAAATAGAGAACTTTTATTTTTCAAATCACTTAGGTAGAAAAGTATTCAGATTGAGTAAACCATTCACATTTAATTGGCCATAAGCTGCCTTTAATGACACATATTGTAGTCCTTATGTAAATTCAAGATAGGATCACAATGAATGGAAGAATGACCAGTGATAGATATACTGGAGCATTCACTTTAATGGAGAAGAGTTTATAAATGATGTGCTACCTGACTTCTAACCTTACAATGAATATAAAATCACTTTTAATGCACATGGCTTTTAGGAGACATTTCCACAGCAGTGCACTAGCAATGCAGGTCACTGTGATCTGTCATTTTCAGTCCTGGGTGTTCCTAATAGAAGTTGTATCTATATTTTTTCTCCTAATCAAATTTAATATGCTTTTGGTTTTGAGGTGCTGCCCCCCCCCCTTTATCCCTTGAAAATTGTTGAGTTTCAAGTGTAGTCCAGGCTGGCCTTGAACTCACTATGTAGCCCAGGCTCAGCTTCCTTTTCTGAGATGGTGGGCAAGCTGACTTTCCTAAGACTGCAATTCTGAGAGCCTTGCCAGTTCTATCCTCAGTCATTAGCACTGCTCTTCTGGCACATTTCCTAGCTGCTGAGTGAGATACAACACGCATGGACCATGATTTCTTTGCTTGCTCCTCTAAATTAATGCTGTGTGAAGTTGGATTATGTGATTTTCTTGGCTGGGTGATGTTTTGTTAATGACACAGCTATCCTGGCTTCCTTCCTCCTCCCCCACACCTTATATACATACCCATTTTTCTTTACTACCAGTTAAAGATAGAATTTTAACTTCAAAATTCTTACAAAAGCAATTGATCATTTTCCCTTTATAGTTATTTCATTATTGTCAATTAGTTTAAAATACCATGAGAAAAACCGGTAAAAGAACCAAAAATTACAGGGTCTCATGTAGTCCAAGCTGACCTTGAACTCACTATGCAGCCAAAGAACAGCTTGAACTCCTGACTCTGTTGTGTCCAGTTCTCGAGTGCTGAGAGAGCAGGTATATGCCACTATGCCCGGCTTTAGAAATTTACGTCTTTATTTTTTGCTACCACCATTTTAATACAGGTAATCTCATTTGTTGAGAGATTTTTTTTTGTAGTACTGAGGATTGAACCCAGGGTCTCGCATGCTAGGCAAGTGCTCTACCATCCAGCTATATCCCAGTCCTCCTTTTAAAATATATTTTAATTAAAAAAAATAATAAAAAACTTTATTGAGATATATTTTAAAAATCAGCATACAGAGTAATGGGTTTTATTGTGCCCAGTCTTTTTACTTACTATTTTGAGATAGGGTTTCAGTGGGTTGTTCGGATTGGCCTTGAACTCATGCTTTGGTCCATCCGGGCCATGAGCTTTCTGACAGCTCTGAATCCCAAGTAGCTGGGATTAAGGTCTACATCATCAGGTCTAGCTCTTGTTTTTGTTGCAATTAGGCTGCAATGGGTTTATGTCAGATATTAAAAATATTTTCATAGATAAATTGATAGGGTTTGGGGAATCTCTAAGCTGAATCGGTGGCCCAGAATAATATTTAATGTTTTAAGTATATTCCTTTAAACAATAAAAACTATACTCTATATAAGCTATATGATGATAGCAATGCAGATAAACCCTGAAAAGATGTTAGAATTGGTGCCTCGTACCTTGTCCTCCTTAACTAATTTACAGAAATGTATATCCAAATCATTTCCAAATCAATTTGTCAGTGTTAAGAGAGTCATATTAATTTTAATCACTATATTTAAATATAAACAATTTAAAATATATTAAATACCACTAATTATATAGTCATATATTAATATAATATATAGTTATTAACTATGTAATTCACTATGTAATTAAGTATTGATATATTAAAATGTAGACAATATTGTGGCTTGTTTTTATTTTTTGATAATAGTAGTAATTTGTTATTTTGTTTCTCGAGACAGGATCTTACTATGTAACCCAGGGTGTCCTCAAACTCTTAATTGTTATGCCATAGCTTTCAGACTGCTGAGATTATAGGTGTGAGCCACCATGCCCTGCTTGGGAGTTTGATGGTTCTTAGAACAAGCCTAGTGTAAATATTGACTTAGTTTTGGACTCAAAATACATCAACACATTCCAAAAATAGTGCAAATCTGTTTAAATATATTGCACATGTATTTAATGTGTGCACAACATATGAATTTGTTATGTATACATATATGAATACATATATAACATACATGTGGGTATATCCCAATGAAAGAGAAATAGCTTCATTAAGTGCATGCTATCTAAATTGACAGGAGGTCCTGAATGTAGGTAATTCTTAGAATTTTTTGTTGCTGCTGTTATCTTTTTATATTTATTTATATTTTTTAGGGTATCATGTAGTCCATGTTGGCCTCATACTCACAGTGTAGTCAAGGGTGACCATGAACTTCTGAACCTCCTGTCTCTACCTCTGTGTGCCAAGGTCATAGCTACGTATCACCACATCTAGTTTGAGTGGTGTTGAGGGTTCAGCCCAAGGGTTTGTGTTCACATTCCTGGCCACAGTCCTCAGATGTGCCTCACTGAAGGAACATCAGAAAAGTCAAAGTCAAATATTGTAAGCCATAATTAATGACTTTCTTCTTATTTCTTCTTCTTATTCTTTCCTTTTCTTTCTTTTTTTTTTTTTTTTTTTTTTTTTTTGAGGCAGGGTCTCCCTGTAGCCCCAGCTACAGTGACCAGAATGGCATCCATCTCACAGAGATCCGCTTGACTCTGCCTCCTGAGTGCTGGGACTAAAGGCATGTGCCAACATGCCCAGCTGCTAATGGCTTTCTTTAAGAGAACCAGAACATATATTTTCTTTTCTAAAATCAAATTAAAATACAATCTCTACATATATGGAAATATAAGGAACACTTGATTTGTACTTGAAGAAATAACATAAGCAGTGACAAAATAGGGAAAATGGCTTATTGACCTCTTAACTGATAATTCATTTTCTAAGGGAAAAGAAATGCATGGTGAGAAGAAAATTCTATTCCAAAAAAGGCAAAGAAATGACAATCTTCAAGTTGCATATCGTAAAATATGCGCAGAATTCTTAACTAATGATATTTGAATGATACTCTGAAAATGATTATGTTTTCATAGCTATTGGGCATTAATTTTGAAAATTAAAGACTGTTAAATAGTCAGGGGCTGGAAGTGTAGCTAAGGAGCCCAGGGTTTAATCCTCAACACCCCCCAAAAGTATTAAATATTTTAGATACATTTTGTATATGTGCATGTGGAGAGAGGTCAGAGGACAGCTTTGCTGAGTCAGTTTTCTCCTTCCACCTTTATCTGGGTTCTGGGAATCCATCTAGGATTGCTAGGCTTGCACTGCAAGCACCTTCTCTCACTGAGCCATTTTTCTGGCCTACAGATATATAATTTTTAAATTTAAGGAAAGAGTATATATAATGCATATGTGTTAAAAGAAGGAATTCCAAGAGAATTTAGGTCACAAAAAATAATGATATTGTCAAGTAATTTATAAAATTTCTTTTATTAAGCTGGGTGTGGTGGTGCATGCCTTTGATCCCAGCATTTGGGAGGCAGAGGCAGGTGGAGCTCTGTGAGTTCAAGGCCAGTCTGGTCTACATAACGAGTTCCAGGCCAGCTTGGGCTACAGGGATACCCTGTCTCAAAAAGACCAAAAAAAAATTAGTTTTATTATACAATTTAGTTTCAGTTATACCAGTATTTCCAGATTTATTTCATTACACACCAAATTCTATTTTAAAACATAAAACTAAACCAATGTTGAAAACAAAAAGAAGACATGAATGTGGGAGTGTTGTAAGGAAGAAGGGATGGGTGGGAGATTAGAGAGGGTATCAGAGTGCACTTTATACATGTATGAAATTGTCAAAGAACAAATCCAATAAATGCTGTATGTAAAAACGGAACAGTTTTCAATTCATCTAAAGTAGAGTGATATAACCTTTCCAATATAACTTTGGACAAATTGGATTGGGTCCATGTACTATCATGGGGCCAGGAGAATTTGGAAAGCCCAAATCAGAAGCCTCCCAAAAAGCTCTCTATAGGCTTTCCTTGGCTTTGCCAGTGGAAGGCTGATGTTGGTCTGTATGTATTATGTTCTTGGCTAATTGTGGCATGTTGTCTCTATTGTTTGTTAACTTTCATAAGCCTCGATATTGATTATATTTTGATTTGAAGGAGTAACTCTTTGCTAGCTTTAATGAATATGCTATTTTTATAACTTGTTTTGCTATCATGTGATTCTTAACATAAATATTGTAATTATGTGTCTCTCTTTTGGTTTGCTTGACTGGAATTCCCATCTACTTGGATGACCACAGGTGACCCTAGTATCTTCTGTAGTCTGCCTTTGGGCTTTTTTATAGTGAGTAGCATGGTAATGTTAATCGGAGCAAGGTACATCTCAGGTTAGTTACTCTTTAAATTAGACAATTTTTATTAGTTAGCTTTAATGTGTTTATGTATAACTCAGCAGAAAGTTTCAGTGTTTTTCATTCTTCCTACATTTAAGAACCTGGAAAATCAGTCAAAGGTACAATTAGTTATATCAGTTCATCTTTGGGACACAGTCAGAATTAAGGACTGTGGCTTTGCTTAAACTAAAAAAAAAAAAAATACCAACTGGTTTCTTTGAAGGGCTGCATGCTGCTGTCAGCTGCAGCAATAACCGAAAGTAGTAAGGACAGATGTTAATGTTTAAATGAAAGACTTTCAGATTGACTGATGAAAGTTAAATTGCAGTTTGGACATTAACCATGTTGGTTTTCAAATGTGCATTTTTTTTTACTTCTGAAAGTATGCTCATCAGTCTTAATATTTCCACTTTTGGAAGAGTTTTGGCTAGAGCATGCTAGCAGAATTTCTGTAAAACTCTAAAACTGGGGAAGGTACTCAGTCACTTTTATTTTAGTTAAAAAGAATATATTTTGTGAAGGGAAGTTTTTTAAATTTTTAGTTAAATAAATTAGTGTTGAAATAAAGTGGAATTTTTTTTTTGCACATTAGCTTCTACTGAATATTTATATAAAAGTAACTGACAACATGTTACGCATCAATATTCATTTAAATATAATTGCCATTTTAGAAGTTCCTTCTGATGATAGTCCTAATTTTTCTTCAAATTTGTACCTTAAGTGGAAATGACTTGTTTCTTGTTCCATATGTTTCCATAAAAGTAAAACATGTGGTTTTTTAATCTTCATATTTAGAAGAAATTCAAAGTTACTTCTTGTATTTAATAAGATGATGACTGACCTAGGTTTAAAATGTAAAATGTAAACTTTATTAATGTGAAGGAACATCTCTTTATAGAAAGTTAACTGGCATTTATTTAACTGGGTATCATCGGTTTAGTGTCATATATAAACATGAAATGAAAATTATATTACTAGAACATTAGATTATCTTTTAATTAATGAGAAACTTTGAGATACTTACATGACACTTTAAAACTAGATTGTATTACTTTTTCTGTATCCTTCATATTCAAACATACTCAGGATAATTTTTTTTCAGTCATCTACTTCTGTATTGATGATACCTTATTTTGTTATCAGTGCTAATATGCTAAGGGCTCTCTATGCATAAGCATAAAACAGAATTAGCAAATATTTGTTTTCTTTCTGTTTCTCAGAAATGTTTGACAGAAGCCTAAACATTCCTGTGAGAACTGGGATTTAACTTTACAAAGATATGTACTGTTTTGGAAAATGTTCCATTGTTTTTTCATTATCCTGAGTATTTTTGCTATATGATGATGATCTAGAAAGAAATAAGAAAAATAAAAACATCACAACTTAAAACTGTCATTGATTGTGTTGTTGTTTCTCTTTTGATACTGTGATAGCATGATAAGTCCTGAACTCTATAAAAATTGAGACATGTGGCGTGTCACTAAGCTAAAGGATACATTAAATATCTAAATCTGCAAATTCCAAAATATATGGTCGCCATCTTTAAGTTTTCTTTTTGGTGACATCTGCCAAAATTCAACAACAATGGGAATTATTTGCCAAGGCAAATAATTATCAGCAGTGATGATTTTTGCTAATTTTGGAATTGGCTCTGTTGTATTTGTTTCTTCTCAACTACAAAACATTATATAGAAGTCATAAGGAATTTGTAGCTCCTTAAATATTTGAAAAGCCTTCATTGTTTAACTCCTGAATTGCATATGTACCTTACTGACTTTTATGGTTTTTGTCCCCCTTTAGGTATTCCATAAATAATACCACCTCATGGATTGCCAAGATGCAAGCTTTTTACATAATGTGAGAATCCAACAATTCTGTCTCATAATGTGATGACACTATTCATAGACTCTGATTTTTTTAATAAGCCACTTGGTGCATGATCCTCCAAGTAGCCCTGTGGCCTGAGATAAAGAACATGCAGCAGAAAGAATGCTCCAGAAACATTTAGCATTTAAAAAAAAAATCATTGACAGTTAAGGTTGAGCCATCTACTTCAGGGGCTGACCCTCTCCATTGGCTTGATATCCTACACTGTTCCCTCTAATATCTAGGATGAATTTGTATCTTATCCATTAGAACTGTTTATCCAGTAATTCAGATGCTAGTGGACCTAGATTTGATTCTCTACACTACACGTGTTTGGTGAAGGGATTACTACTGTCCTGCTAAAATGAGTGGCTTTTTGTTTGTTCGATTTTTAACAGACCCCCTAAGTGTCTTCTTTTCTACATATTATAAGACCACAGAATCACTGAATATTTAAATGGAACCTCTACTGAATTTTCTATTATCATAGCTTGGGACATTTTCTGAACAGTTTGCCAAAATAGAAATTCTTCAGATATTTTACACTGTCTTGCTAATTGTCATGGCTTTCTGTTAGATCTTATAGGGAAGGACACTTTCTTTTTCTTTTCATCTCTCCTTTTCGTATTTTTTATTATGTATGTATAACATATATGCCTATATATTTTATATACTAAGGGTAGCCCATTTATAAATTAAGAACACATTATATTCAATAGGTTATAACAGGGCTGGTCTTAAGTGGACTACTATGTATATAAATTTTTGGGGAAACAGCCTTATACATTTTTGGGCAACGGTTATGCATATTATTTACCAAGAGAAAATTTTTCTTAAAAAGCCAACATTTAAAATTTAAGTATATGTTCTATGTCAATAAAAGGAAATGTACTATACTGTGACTTCAACTATATACTTATACTCTTGCCATTTTATTTAATTATGTCAGCTGAATAAATCATATTTTAAAAAGAAAAACAATTGTGGCATAGTACAGTAAATGTTGTTCTCAAACATGAGTACCAGTACAAATAAAATTACTTTTCCTTTGAATTAGTGTTTTACGTATTTGAGATACTTTTCAGTAATGGAGGGTTTGTCAAAAAACTGAAAAGCTAAGAAGAAAACAATGTGTGAAGAAATCCAGGAATCTCTTTCGAATATTACTACTTGTTAAGAAGTTCTTATTATCTAGGATGACAGAAAATATCTGTGCTTATTGTTATATTACAACTGAAAAAGTTTATCATTGCAAATTCCTTCCAGTGAAACCAGTAACTTCTCAAATATTTTGTATAATGATAAAAGAACCCACTAATCTAGCTTCCTAAGGTCACTTATTTAAATATCTTTAATTTGCTTTGTAGCAAACAAATTAGAAAATATTGCTTCCTGATTTTTTTCTTTTATCAGTACAGAATGGAAATGTTTATATGTTAATAGAAGTTTTATTTGGAATTAATGGTAGCTCATATTTACTCTTCTTATTTTAGTATTTCTAAATTATTGAATTGGATAGGTTTTCCTGATAAAGCTGCTAGTTAGATGGCATAAATATAGAAAAATACTGAGAGATTCTCACTGTGGCAGTGATATTTTTAAACTGAGTTATGTTTCTACAAATGTAGGTTGAGTTCATTGTAAATAATTGTGCAAATCACTGTTCTAATCATTTTAAGAGTACATTAGTTTTTCTATAAAATGGAAGATTTATACCTGTTTGAAATTGTAAACATTGATAATTAGTGATACATTTACTTAAAATAAAATTGACCCCTATTTCTTATTTGCATTTCTTATTCACAGACTAGCTTTTAGATGAAAGTTCAGTTAACAGAGATGTTTCAGCAGACGTGAAACTTTTTAGCACTTGATCATGCACACTGAAGAATTATCGAACAGCAGTAGATTCTGTAGTGGTGAACAGCATAATTAATGTATTAGAACAGGCTAAACTGTTTTCAGTTTAACATTTCCAGAAAATACCTTTGCAAGACCAACAGCCACTTTCAGTAGCATATGTTTTTGCCGTCCCGTGTCCCAGTTCTGAGTTCATCGGTGGGGTGTGGTACACCACTGTCCTCTCAACCTAATATCCAACATCTCAGTCAGTAAAATAAATAATACATCAATGCTTCTGTAATGGTATCTAATTGTTTTTAGTATAGTTCCCAAGCACAAATCTCTGGGATGTTTATTGGTATATCACACCATGAATGAATGAAGAATAATAACTACTTTGGAAAAGCCAACAAGTAAAAGTTGTTATAGCACAGAAACAATTGACATTGACAATAGGCTAAGTTCTATCTACCCCAATAATGTTTTCAAAACTTTTTTTTAATATTTTATTTTTTTATTATTTTTTATGTTTGTGTGTATGAGTGTTTTGCCTGTGTGTATATAAGTGTGCCTGTGTCATGCAGTGCCCACGGAGGTTAAGAGGGGGCTTTGGATCCCTTGGAACTGGAGTTATGGACAGTTGCTAGCCACCATGTGGGTGCTGGGAGTTAAATGCGGGTCCTCTGCAAGAGCAGTGAGTGCTCTTAACCACTGAGCCAACTCTCCAGCCCCACATTAAAAAAGTTTTTTTTAAAAAAAAAAACCTAAATACAAATATCAAAATTTTACAGGTTTTTTTTTTAATAAGACAGGGTTTCACTCTGTAGCCCAGCTTTCTCTGGAACTTCCTTTGTAGCCCAGGATATCCTGGATTTCTCAATCCTCTTGCCTCCACCTTTCAATTTCTGTGGCTATAGATATGTACTGTCACTCTCAGCTCAAAATTATTTTTTAATATAGGATCTCAAGTATCCCAACCTAGTCTCGAACTCACTAGTAGCTGAGAACTTGAATTTCTGATTCTCCTGCCTCTACTTCCCAAGTGCTAAGGTTATAGACCTGTGCTACCATTCCTGGTTTATATGGTACTTGGGATCAAACTCAGGGCCTCATGCATGGTAGGCAAGCACTGTACCAACTATACTGTCTCCTCACCCCTCAGAATTATTTTTTAACCATATCTTTTTTTTAAGACATAGTCTCACTATGTAGCCCTGGCTGGCCTGGAACTCATTTTGTAGACCAGGCTAGCCTTGAACTCAGAGATCCTCCTGACTCTGTCTCCCAAGTGATTAAACTTTCTTCCCTATGCCTAGCTGTCCATAACTTTTTATTTAGTATCTTATTTTAACCAGTGATGTTTAAATATTGATGTCTACTTGATCCTTTGTTCTTGCAACTTAACAGCTATATTGTTTTTATTGTATGTGTATGAATGTTTTGGCTGCATGTATGCCAGTGCACCCATGTCATACTTAGTATTTTATTTTTAAATATTTTATTATTTTTATTTTATGTGTATGAGTGTCTTGCCTGCATGTATGTGAGTGCACCCATGTTGTGCAATGCCGCGGAGGTCAGAAGAGGGCTTCGGATTCCCCTGGAACTGGAGTTAAGGACCATTCATAGCCACCATGTGGGTGCTGGGAATCAATCCTGGGTCCTCCACAAGAGCAGTCAGTGCACTTAACCACTGAGCCATCCCTCCAGCCCCAGTATTTTATTTTTAAAGTACAACTTTGGATCTTCCTAAATTTTCTTGTTGAGTATCACAATTAAGTGTCATTACTTATTTATGTGTGTGGGGTGGGTGTACGTGTACATTTATTTTTTAGACAATGTCTTGTAATGTAGACCAGGCTTGCCTTGAACTCACAATGATCTTCCTGCTTCATCCTCTTGAGTGCTGGGATTAACAGTGTGCACCACCATATCGACCTTTGTTCTGCATTAAACACAATATTTTATTCATTGTATATTGTTATATGGTTCATTTACAGGTACGTTTTGTAAATGCCAAATATTTAAATCATCAAAGCAACCATGAAAGGGAGACTGGTGAATAAACTATAATACAGTCACAGTACAAAATGTGTAGCTGTAAATGAAAATGAGGACAATGTCTAGAAACAAATGGAAGCACTTAGGGAGAGTAGAAAAGCAAGGTGCAGGCCAGTGTAGAAGTGTGCCACATTTCTTTCAAATTTGGAGAACACAAATTAGACTCGATAGGCCTTTAAAAAAATAGGGAACATCAAGTGGGGTGTACAGTGGGGGTGGAGATGGGAGACGAAGTGTGAATCCATCAAAGTGCTTTGTATGAAATTCTCAAAGAGTTAATAAAAATTGAAAAATAAAACAGCATGAAATATACAGTATGAGCAGGAAAAGATTCCACTGGACAGAGTCCTAATGTCCTTTTCTCTATGTAAAATCACAAGCACTCAGTAGCACATTATCTAAGTACATATTAATATGTTTGAGCTGCTTATGTCTATTTTAAATGTAAGGAAGAGGGCCCGTAATTAGATTTATTTTACCAAATGCAGATATTAGCTAAATATTTGGCTACACCTTTCCAAGGTCTTAAGATGATAGAAATGGAAATTATGCTTGATTGTGTGTTCAGCAGCAGGCATGGATGTGGAAGCCAAATCAGATCACTAAAGAACACTCTTGGGCATTAATGAAGGCTACACCAAATATCAATGGCTGCAAAACTCCATAATATTATATAAGATCGGATGCACAAATCGCATTTATTAATTAAACATTAACTTAAAAATACCAAGTCAACTTTAAAGTGCTGCTTATCTAGGACATGACATGAAAGCATCACCCTATTTTTTGTTTGTTTAGCAAACACAGTAAATGGGTTTGATGATGGATGACATTTTTATAACACATCACTATACCTTGCTCCTATTTGCTCCTGCTACCCATGACACATACTCTGCTACCCTCTCTTATTTACTAATCCCACCTCTTCTCCATCATACCAAAGTAAATTTTTAAAAATAGATTATAAGACAAACTGCTGATAAATCTGAACAGGCACCACCAGAATTCCATATTCAATTAAATAACGCCATTCTCAAGTGACAGTGACCTTGACAATTTATTTTTTGTATATTCATAAACAAAAGTCTCCAGATATTCCAAAGAGCTATAAACAATACCTCACAACAGTATCTTACTATCTATTTAAACACTTAAGTCGTCTTGCATTGCAAGTTGTTTATTTTTCTGGTGTAAGTAAGGTCACAACAGCATTCACCCGTGGTAGAACAATAAATAACAATGTCTGCATATCTTAAAGTTTGTTGGTCATAAAAGTCAGAATGAGATCATCAATTCGGTGTAACAAGAAAATGAAAAATAATTTAGCCCAGTATTTGTTAAGGACAGTTTAGTGCTGTCAGTTTCATCTACGGAAATCAGCATGGCCTGATGTCTTAAACACTCACTATGTCATGGTATTTGAGATATATAGAATATTAAGATATATACACTATGAAGTGTTCCTTCTTAAATACAATCGCCATCAAGCTTCTATTGTATTTCATTTTAAGCAGGACTAGAGTAAACTTTTGGCCTACAGTGTGCTGCCATTCTGGTAAAGAAGGCTGAGGGTGTAGCTCATTGTCAGGACATTTGCCTAGCATGTATGAAGCCCCATGTTCCATGTCCAGCACCATGAAAATATGAAAATAAATTGAAACTAAAATGTTCACCTGCACTGGAAAAGTACAAGTTCTTTACTTGTACTGATCTACTACGATAGAATGGGATGACAATAGGGCACCTTGGAAATAAGTGGGGAAGCTCACGCCCACACACTCTTAAATTATCTTAAAGCTTAGTATGCATACTATCAATACTTGCTTTTAACTACAAAACTAATTTTAAGATTTTTGAACTTAAATCCAGGGGTCCGTCTACATAAATTTTGACGGAAACAATATAACAGCTAGAGAGCGGAAACCCGAATTATCAGTTGATGAGTGGCTAAGCAAAAGTTGTATATCCATACAAGGGAATATTCAGCATAAGTGTTAAGATATGTGAGCCTTAAAAAATATGTGGCATGAAAGTAGGCAGACTAAAATGCCGTGTGTGGTATGATTCCTTTTATATGAAATGTCCAGAATAGACAAATGACTGCCAGAAGCTGGAGAAGGAAATGGAAGCGACTCTTTTTAAAAATAATA